AAAGAGCCAGAGCTCAACCCCTGCAAGCACCAATTAGGTGAGTACACACACACACACACACACCCACACACACACACACACACACACACACACCCACAGCACAACACACACACACACCCACACACACACACACACACACACCCATCCCTTGTAAAATACTGGAAAGAATAATTAGGCTACGACTGGTTGCACACCTGGAGAACGTTAGGTTTGTGAACAAACATCAACATGGGTTCTGGACAGGAAAATCGTGCCTAACAATCCTTCTGGAATTCTATGGTAAAATAACGAGGATAAGAAAGGACATAGATGGTTGGGCAGACTGCATATTTCTGGACTGCCAAAAAGCCTTTGATACAGTACCGCACATGAGACTGCTGTTCAAGCTCGAGAGGCAGGCGGGGGGGTGGGAGGAAAGGCCCTAACATGGATAAGGAACTACCTAACAGGAAGGAGCCAAAGAGTTACGGTAAGGGGCGAGAAGTCGGACTGGCGAACAGTAACAAGTGGAGTACCACAAGGATCGGTGCTGGGACCAATTCTATTTCTTGTGTATGTTAACGACATGTTTACAGGCTTAGAGTCCTACATGTCGATGTTTGCGGATGACGCAAAGTTGATGAGAAGAGTTGTGACAGATGAGGATTGCAGGATCCTCCAAGAGGACCTGAACAGGTTGCAGAGATGGTCAGAGAAAGGGCTACTGGAATTCAACACGAGCAAATGTAAAGTTATGGAAATGGGACTAGGAGATAGGAGACCAAAGGGACAGTACACAATGAAGGGGAACAGCCTACCTGTAACGACGCGTGAAAGAGACCTAGGGGTAGACGTAACACCTAATCTATCTCCTGAGGCACATATAAATAGGATAACGACAGCAGCGTACTCTACACTGGCAAAAGTTAGAACATCATTCAGAACACCTAAGTAAGGAGGCATTTAGGGCGCTTTACACTGCCTACGTAAGGCCAGTCTTAGAGTATGCCGCCTCATCATGGAGTCCCCATCTGAAGAAGCATATAATGAAACTGGAAAAAGTTCAGAGGTTTGCAACGAGACTCGTCCCAGAGCTACGAGGGATGGGGTATGAGGAGCGCCTGAGGGAACTGTGCCTTACGATACTAGAAAGAAGAAGGGAGATGGGGGGGACATGATAGGAACGAATATAATAGACTCAGAGGGATTGACAAAGTGGACATAGACGAAATGTTCACAACGGAATAGAAACAGAACGAGGGGACATGGATGGAAGCTTGAAACTCAGATGAGTCACAGAGATGTTAGGAAGTTTTCTTTTAGCGTGAGAGTAGTGGGAAAATGGAATGCACTTGGGGAAACGGTTGTGGAAGCAAATACTATTCATAATTTTAAAACCAGGTATGATAGGGAAATGGGACAGGAGTCATTGCTGTAAACAACCGATGCTCGAAAGGCGGGATCCAAGAGTCAATGCTCGATCCTGCAGACACAACTAGGTGAGCACACACACACACACACACACACACACACACACACACACACACACACACACACACACACACACACACACACACACACACACACACACACACTACCCAAGCCACAGTGTTAGGTTCTGTCTCCGTTTGTTTATCTATTTGTCTTCTTTTGTTTAGTCTATCTCTATATTTGACTGTTTTTTGTTTGCCTGTCCAATGTTTGTTATTGCGTTGTTGTTGTGTAGAGTCGTCATATATGTAGCGTCCGTCTTGACGTGTTGGCACGTTATCTTATAGAGGCAGGTGGCCTTAGTTTTACTGCTGAGGGAGGGATCAGCCACAGTTTGGCAGGTCCTTCATGTCCACGTGATATCATCGCCCGGAGTTCCCGGGGCGCCGCTGGATGTCTTGTATTTGGCTAAACGGGGTGGTGGATGGGGGATGGGTGGGGTCGGGGTTAGTGGGAGTGGGTGGGGGATGGGTTGGGTCGGGGTTAGTGGGAGTGGGTGGGGGATGGGTGGGTCGGGGTTAGTGGGAGTGGGTGGGGGATGGGAATTGGTGGGTGGGTCGGGGTTAGTGGGGAGTGGGTGGGGGATGGGGATGGGTGGGTGGGGACGGGGTTAGTGGGAGTGGGGTGGGGGATGGGGATGGGTGGGTGGGACGGGGTTAGTGGGAGTGGGTGGGGGATGGGAATTGGGGGGTGGGTCGGGGTTAGTGGGAGTGGGTGGGGGATAGGGATGGGTGGGTGGGACGGGGTTAGTGGGAGTGGGGGGGGGATGGGGATGGGTGGGTGGGACGGGGTTAGTGGGAGTGGGTGGGGGATGGGAATTGGAGGGTGGGTCGGGGTTAGTGGGAGTGGGTGGGGGATGGGGATGGGTGGGTGGGACGGGGTTAGTGGGAGTGGGTTGGGGATGGGGTGGGCGAGGCTGGTGCTAAAAGCGAACTTGTATGTTGGGTGTTTCCTCACCTAAATGTGCTTGCAGGGTCGCGCGATAGCTCCTGGACCCCGGCTTATCAGTCATGGCTTGTGTAATGCGGTGACTCTCGATCCTCTCTGTTGACGAGAGGGTTACAGGATGAGGGGGCTGGGCTGCTACCTGTCCTCCTACAAGGAACGTCGCTTTTTGCTCGTATGCGTTGCGTAAGGGTAAAAAATTCTCGTACTTGAAAAATGGAAGTGGCTGGCGAAAGTGACTTACTGTCCCGTTTTCTGTTTTGGGGTCTTCTGGTAGGTTAGGAGAGGGCACTTGAAATTTACCGTTTTCTTGACATTGCGTAAGTTTACTGGAGGCCGGACTGGAGAGCTACGGTCGTGGTGTCTCGGATTCATTCCACTGTGTTTGCCACGCACCGCATACAAGTATTTCTTACGTTTCAGGGCCAGGATTCATCTAGCATTTACGTAGACACTTGCGAAACCTGTACATCTTTCCACAATCATGGCGGTTTAGTATATATATTAGTTGGTGAGCTCGGAAACGTGACTCCCCAGTGTTCGTGTTACAGACAACCCTCCTAATGCTTAGCAGCTCACAATCTTTCAGAAATAAAAGGCGCCATGACTGAAGAAAGATGTACAGGTTTCGTAACTCGACACGGTGGCTGAGCGGACAGAACACTGGATGCGTGATCCTTTGGTCCCGGGTTCGATCCCAGGCGCCGGCGAGAAACGATGGGCAGAGTTTCTTTCACCCTGATGCCCCTTGTTACTTAGCAGTAAATAGGTACCTGGGAGTTAGTCAGCTATCATGTGCTGCTTATATATGATGGGCTGCTTAGCTTCCTGGGGGTGGAGGCCTGGTCGAGGACCGGGCTGCCGGGATACTAAAGCCCCCGAAATCTTCTCAAGATAACCTTAAGATAACGTAAATGCATGGTGAATACCATCCCCTGGAACTTATGTCTTTCCAGTTTCACATTTCCTCCCTTGTTCTGTTGTCCTTCGCATGGGGAAGAACAACACCTTGGAGAACCAGGAGAACCTATAGGTTCTCTACAGGTTAGGCATTTCTTCCACCTGCCCACTAGTCTACCTACCTTTTGGTTCCGGAATCAATGTCCCTGCGGCCCAGTCTCTTGACCAGGCCTCCTGGCTGGCAGTCTGGTCAACCAGACGCCGCTGCTCGCAGTCTGACGTATTAATAACAGACCCTTTGATCAGATATGCTCTGGAAGTGTTTATCCAGTCAGTAGGATGCCTCGCGTCTTAGCACTTTAAAAAAAAGTGTTTTCTTCAGCTGCGTTAAATCGTGACCCTCTTATTTTATCACTTGCCACCACCTTGAGGTTACCTTGAGGTGCTTCCGGGGCTCAGCGTCCCCGCGGCCCGGTCGACGACCAGGCCTCCTGGTTGCTGGACTGGTCAACCAGGCTGTTGAACCTCAGAAAGTGTTCTTAATGCATGTTGTGTTCTCGTGTGTGTGTGTGTGTTTACTAGTTGTGTTTTTGCGGGGGTTGAGCTTTGCTCTTTCGGCCCGCCTCTCAACTGTCAATCAACTGTTTACTAACTACTTTTTTTTTTTTTTTTTTTTTTTCCCACACCACACACACACACACACACACCCCAGGAAGCAGCCCGTGACAGCTGACTAACTCCCAGGTCCCTATTTACTGCTAGGTAACAGGGGCACTTAGGGTGAAAGAAACTTTGCCCATTTGTTTCTGCCTCGTGCGGGAATCGAACCCGCGCCACAGATTTACGAGTCCTGCGCGCTATCCACCAGGCTACGAGGCCCCAAGCTACGAGACCCCTGTGTGTGTGTGTGTGTGTGTGTGTGTGTGTGTGTGTGTGTGTGTGTGTGTGTGTGTGTGTGTGTGTGTGTGTGTGTGTGTGTGTGTGCGCGCGCGCGCGCGCGTGAGGCAGTAGTGCGTTCTCTTCATAACCTGTAAACTGGTTGAACAAGTTTAGTGTAGTGCGTTTAATGGTTGCCCCATCCCACTTCCTGAATGGTGGGATGGGGGGGGGGGGTCCCCTTCCTCTCACTCCCCTTTCCCACCCTCCTAAATCCCCCCCTCATTAACTTTTTCTCTCCCTCCTGTTAGCTTTTCCCTTCCATTTCAGTCACTAAGATTTTTGTTCCGTCCCTTCATCATGTTTTCCTTCCCTCCTCCCCTATTCCATCGTTATCTTTCTCCTCACTACCCCTCATCTTTATTTTAGATTAGAACGACCTGGCGTGAGCTCATGATCCTCAGTGAGTACTCTTATGAGTACCTTGCCTTACCTTGGAGTCTTTCCGGGGCTTAGCGTCCCCGCGGCCCGGTCGTCGACTAGGCCTCCTCGTTGCTGGACTGAAAAAGTACATATTTAGAAAGTAGGAGTACATTACTGGTCCCGTCTATTGTCTGTGATTCATCCAGCACAAGACTTTGGTGGTGAGGACCCGTGTTCATCTTGTTCCTGCATGTTCTTCATCTTCCTTGTACCTGCATGTTCATCTTGTTAGTACTCGACCCTCTCGCCAAATTAATTACTTGCCATTTTTCTTTTAAACTAATCTAATTGTTATCATTAATTAATGTGTTTGTTCTCATTTGCAGGTGAGTTGGCAGAGCAGGCTGTGTTTGCTGGCGTGTTGCAAGAGCGAGCCAGTGAGTATGTTTTGTGTTGCAGTCTCTTGTATTACCTTGTATCTTGCTTGTATCCTGTCTCGGAAGGTGTGTATGAAGTGTATGTATGTATATGTTTTCAGCGAACCCAAGACCACATTGAAGATCGATGATCCAAATGAATTCTTCAGGAATGTGACACCAACATGGAACCACATATCAGATGTCACACTAACCCTACTGGACTTTGAAGTAGCCAGAGACAGCATGCCCATGCACTCTGCACCAGGCCCAGATTCGTGGAATTCTATATTCATCAAGCAGTGCTCAACATCACTATCACAGGCCCTGAACATCTTTTCGAGACGGAGCCTAGATACTAGTGTCATCCCTGACACACTTAATACAGCGGAGATCGCACCACTTTACAAAGGAGGTAGTAAAGCAGATGTAAAAAATTATAGCCCAATAGCTCTAACCTGACACATCATAAAAATCTTTGAAAGAATGCTAAGCAGTAAGATTATAATTCACATGGAATCACAACATCTACAAACCCCTGGACAACACGGGTTCAGAACAGGGCGCTCCTGCCTCTCACAGTTGCTAGATCACTATGACATGGGCTCAGGTGCCATGGAATGTCAGCAAAAAGCAGATGTAATATACACAGAATTTGCAAAAGCTTTCGACAAATGTGATCATGTTGTTATTGCGCAGAAAATACGTGCAAAAGTAATTACTGGCAGAGTAGGGATATAGATCTTCAACTTTCTAACGAACAGAGCGCTGAGTGTAATAGTCAACACAATAAAATCTGGATCATCTATTATGAAAAGCTCAATTCCCTAAGGTACCGTACTTGTTCCGGTAATTTAGACAAGGATACAAACTACAGCACTGTATCATCATTTGCAGATGAAACTATGATTATTATGGGAGTAGGCAATATAGAATACAGGACAGGGCAAACCTCCAAGCAGCTGCAAATCGGCTCTTTCAATAGGCCACATTTAATCATATGATGTTTAATGAAAATAAGTTCCAGCTCCTGCGCTATGGAAAAAAAATTTAAAAACTGAAACTATATATAAAACGGAATCAAATCACACTTTAGAACGAAAAAGCAACGTAAAGGACCAAGGAGTAATCATGTCAGAAGATCTTATCTTTACAGACCGCCATAAAGTAGCTGTCACGACTGCAAGAACAATGACAGGTTGGTTAACTAGGACCTTCCAAACAAGGGACGCCATACCAATGATTACTTTTTAAGACACTAGAGCTCTCAAGGGTGGAATATTGTTGGACTCTAACGGCCCCATTCAGCGCCATAGTTCCCATATTTTGGAAACTTTTGCTCACTTGTTTCCTTTAAATTAGAAGATTTTTGCTAAATGAGGAGAGCTAGCAGGATCAGGAGGAGCAGGAGTGGTGAAGGAGGAAAGGAACGGGGGAGTAGGAAGAAGAGAAAGAAAATTAAATGGGAAACGAGGGGGAGGTTAGGATAAAGAGAAGACAAGTGAAGAGGAACCAACAGGTGCAGCTTTGGCTTGTATGTCGTGATAGCCCACCACCACTCACCACTACCACCACCCACCACTACCACCACCCACCACTACCACCACTCACCACCACCCATCACTACCACCACCACCCACCACTCACCACCACCCACCACTACCATCACCCACCACTCACCACCACCCACCACTACCACCACCCACCACTACCACCACCCACCACTCACCACCACCCACCACTCACCACCACTCACCACCACCCACCACCACCCACCACTACCACCACCCATCACTACCACCACCGCTAATACCATCAATAATGGAAAACACACCGGTATGGAATCCGGTAAAGCATAAAACCAAAATTGAGAAAGTCCAAAGGTTTGCAACAAGACTGGTGCCAGAGCTAAGAGGGTTAAGCTACTAAGCCAATGGAACTAAATCTCCAATGGAAGATAAAAGAAACAGGGCATATGATCACAACATGAAAGATACTGAGGGGAATAGACAAGGATAGCCTCTTTAAATTGAGGGAAAGTAAGATAAGTGGACACAAGTGGAAGCTGGAAAGGCAAATGAGCCGAAGGAATGTAAGGAAATAGTCGTACTTTGTACGGGTAGTTAACAAAGTGGAATGCTGTAAAAGAAGAACTTGTGAAAGCCACCTCCATCTACAGTTTTAAAGGCCAGATTCGACCCACCTCTACCACCAGTGGTAGGAGGTGAGCCGGTCGGCCGAGCGGACAGCACGCGGGAATTGTGATCCTGTGGTCCTGGGTTCGATCCCAGGCGCCGGCGAGAAACAATGGGCAGAGTTTCTTTCACCCTATGCCCCTGTTACCTAGCAGTAAAATAGGTACCTGGGTGTTAGTCAGCTGTCACGGGCTGCTTCCTGGGGGTGGAGGCCTGGTCGAGGACCGGGCCGCGGGGACATTAAAAAAAAAAAAAGCCCCGAAATCATCTCAAGATAACTCGATAACTCAAGATAACCACCACCACCACCACCACCACCACTACTTGTTCTAACCTGTGGTTGAGGAACCTTCCCGCCAATCGAAACAGCCGGTTAAGTGAGTTCTTGGTCTATTTAGTGTACCGACATCCGGTTAAGCGAATACATTGCGGGTAAATTAATTGATAAGTGGACCGCTATTTGCCGGTTACAATGGTAACTGTTATTGTTGGTGACGATATGGGTTGTTCAACGTCCTCCCAGCGTGTATAAGAATATTGCCGGAACAACCGTGGACATCTTCAAGAGAAAACTAGATTGTTTTCTTCAAGGAGTGCCGGACCAATCAGGCTGTGGTGGGTGTGTTTATATATTTGTATATATGTTTATATATTATATATTATTTATTTGTTTATAGTGATTGTAATATCATTTTGTATGGTGATTGTAATCAAATAGCCCCGTGATTGGTGCTTGCGGGGATGTTGTGTGGGGTTAGGCTGATGTTATTTCGTTGTGGTACTGCTCGGCTTTTGTTGTTCAGTTTGGCTGTTGTGGTGCGGTTGAACCGTTGTGACGCTGGCCTAACCAAACATATGATAGCCCAAGCTGAATAAGGAGCGGAAGTGGTTAAGACAGGCAGAAGGGGGAAGGGGGGGTGTGTGCACACCAACTGGAGAGTCCGGTGGTCGGCGGGTGACCTACACTGGCCTGACCTTCCTCACCTACTGTAGCCACAAGTGCTTCCTGTCTTGCCTGTGGTGGAGTGCACAGGTTCCTGCCTTGCCTGTGGTGGAGCGCACAGGTTCCTGCCATTCTCCCTTGCAACAGGAAAACTGCACGGAAGAGGAAGCGAACAGGAAAGAAGGTAGTGATAAGAGGAGGAGGGACGGTTGAGGGGTGGGAAAGGAGACAAGAGGAGGAATAGGAATAGCGAAGAGTTGATGGAAAGGAACTTTAGAAAGATTGAGAAGATTGGCGAGGGGTTACCTTGAGGTGTTTTCGGGGCTTAGCGTCCTAGCGGCCCGGTCGTCGACTAGGCCTGCTGAGAAGGGTGTGGGGCAGGAAGGGGGGGCAGGGAAGGTGCTGTGTTGCCTCTGATGCTGTAGTCAAGAGTTATTGGTAGAGGGAGAGGAGGAGGACTCTACTGGTGACGCGCTGTTCCCCCATAACTTTGGACTGAATAGTTGGCTTTGGGAGAGTGCGGACACGCTCTTGCGTGGGGCAGAGTTATGTGCCACTAGTTGATTCCTGAATGACACACACACACACACTCACACACACACACACACACACACACACACACACACACACACACACACACACACACACACACACACACAAGATCCCAATAGGCTCAGGAACCTGTACATTAGTTGATTGACAGTTGAGAGTCGAGACCAAAGAGCCAGAACTCAACCCCTGCAAGCACAACTAGGTAAGTACACCCCCCCTACAGAAACCTGTGTAAGGAATCATTCAGTACCTTGTATACCACATATGTAAGACCAATCCTGAAGTATGCAGCCCCAGCCTGGAGGTGACTACACACACCATATAGGACTAGAGGGGCGCCAGCTCTCAATAGGACCCAGATTACGGAGCTCACTGGACTGTGGTGTAGTCCTGGGGTGTAAATAAGTAAATTGACAATATAAATAGACAAGTAAGTAAGTAGTAAGTAAGTAAGTAGTAAGTAGTAAGTAAGTAAGTAGACCTGTATATTCTCTCACTGCAAAATGTGTGAGTGGTAAATATAGGAGATATTTCCTCTAAACCTTCCTTCCCCCTCCTCTTCTCTCCTCTTCCGCCCTCTTCTCTCCTCTAACCCTTCCTTCCCCCTCCTCTTCTCTCCTCTTCCGCCCTCTTCTCTCCTCTAACTCTTCCTTCCTCCCCCCTCTTCTCTCCCTTCTTCTCTTCCCCTCCGCACTTTGTTGTGTATATCTTCCCCTCTCTCTTTTCTGACCTCTCCATAAATACCATGACCTCTGACCGGAACCACGTAAGGTTGTCCCCTAAAGAATGTTGACCCTCTTCGTTTCCTGCCCCCCCCCCCACTCCACCCTTCTCCTGCACAGAGACCCCGGAAGCGCCCCCCCCCCTTCTCCCCCCAACCCCCCGGAGGCACCCGGTGGAAACCCAATTACCAACGGTGCAGTTTGTTACGTGTGCTTCAGTAATGTCTAGAAACGCTGTATTGTAGCCGTGACACAGGTAAACCACAGCGGTGATAGACACAGGTAAACTAGAACAGTAATACAGGTAAAAAACGGCGGTGATAGACACAGGTAAACTTCAGCAGTGATAGACACAGGTAAACTTCAGCAGTGATAGACACAGGTAAACCACAGCGGTGATAGACACAGGTAAACCACAGCGGTGATAGACACAGGTAAACCACAGCGGTGATAGACACAGGTAAACTTCAGCAGTGATACACAGGTAAACTTCAGCAGTGATACACAGGTAAACTTCAGCAGTGATACACAGGTAAACTTCAGCAGTGATACACAGGTAAACTTCAGCAGTGATACACAGGTAAACTTCAGCAGTGATACACAGGTAAACTTCAGCAGTGATACACAGGTAAACTTCAGCAGTGATACACAGGTAAACTTCAGCAGTGATACACAGGTAAACCACAACAGTGATAGACACAGGTAAACCACAGCAGTGATAGCCACAGGTAAACCACATCAGTGATAGACACAAGTAAACCACAGCAGTGACAGCCACAGGTAAACCACACGGGTTTTACCTTTCGGTTTAACTTTCGATGGTTCCGAAAGGTCATGGCCCCCGCGGCTCGGTTTCCGACCAGACCTCTTGGTTCAGCCCGTCCTCGCATACAAAGGATCCAAGCTCGTTAATCCAGCCGCCAAACCCCCTGTTTATGAATAAAAAACGGTTTACACACGGCTCACAACTGATGACGTTCGAACACTTCCGGAACAAGTGCTTCGCTCACGTCCTCTGTTCGAACCACAGTTCTATAAATGCTTCATCCACGTTATTCGAACACAAATAATCGCCAACTGAACGGAGCCGGTCAGCCGAGCGGACAGCACGCTGGATTTGTGATCCTGTGGTCCTGGGTTCGATCCTAGGCGCCGGCGAGAAACAATGGGCAGAGTTTCTTTCACCCTATGCCCCTGTTACCTAGCAGTAAAATAGGTACCTGGGTGTTAGTCAGCTGTCACGGGCTGCTTCCTGGGGGTGGAGGCCTGGTCGAGGACCGGGCCGCGGGGACACTAAAGCCCCAAAATCATCTCAAGATAACCTAAACACCTAACCTACAGCTAACTATAGCATTGTATGTATAATAATATTAATTTATATATGAGAACAAACCAATTTTTAATACAGAGTATATTAAAATTGATGATTGCGTCGGGGGAGGCCGGCCGCTGCTTTAACCAGCCTAGTGTGAGGACGGGTTGCTTGGTTGCTGGTCTGGTCAACCAGGCTGTTGGACGCGCCTGCTCGCAACCTGACGTAGGTACCCATTTTAATGAGTAATGAGACAGGTTATTCATTACTCAGCATACCCAGAATAAGTGAATAATTCATTACTCAGCATACCCAGAATAAGTGAATAATTCATTACTCAGCATACCCAGAATAAGTGAATAATGCAACAAGTTATTCATTACTCAGGATAAGCGAGTAATGCAACCAGATTCATTACTCAGCATACCCAGGATAACCCCATCAACACAGTATGTAATAAAGCCAGGGGCCAGGCTCACAGGAGCGACTAGAATAACCCATACCTGGGGATAAACGCTGACCAGAATCCTATAAAATGTATTTAAATGTTCATTAATTAATTTTTTTTAATTCGCATTTTTGCCATTTTGCATGGACGATGACGCCTCAGGGGCCGGCCAATGATTAAATTTTTGGGTCAGCAATATCATGTATGCTTTTTTTTTTAATATCGGGATTTTGTAGTTGGGTTGGGATTGGGTACAGTGATGTCCGCTCCTTGCTTGCTTGCTTGTTGTTTTAGATTCAGCTACTGGGAACAAAATGTTGCAAGTAGCACGGGCTATGGTGAGCCCGGAGTGGACTTACCTGGCACAGGAGCGGGGTTGTAATTGCCTTGTTTGCTTCTGTCCGTTCCAATACCACCACCTCTGTCTCCTCCTCTCTCCTCTCCTCTCCCGTCCCTCCCATCAGTACTTACCTATCAGTATCTACAGAGAAGTTGCAAGTAGCACGGGCTATGGTGAGCCCGGAGTGGACTTACCTGGCACAGGAGCGGGGTTGTAACTGCCTTGTTTGCTTCTGTCCGTTCCAATACCACCACCTCTGTCTCCTCCTCTCTCCTCTCCTCTCCCTTCCCTCTCATCAGTACTTACCTATCAGTATCTACAGAGAAGTTGCAAGTAGCACGGGCTATGGTGAGCCCGGAGTGGACTTACCTGGCACAGGAGCGGGGTTGTAACTGCCTTGTTTGCTTCTGTCCGTTCCAATACCACCACCTCTGTCTCCTCCTCTCTCCTCTCCTCTCCCTTCCCTCTCATCAGTACTTACCTATCAGTATCTACAGAGAAGAGAGGTCTACCTCTGTATGCCTCACTTACTTGGGCGTTGTATCTGTTGCGTTTCTGTTTAATTATTCTGATTTTCAGATTCTTTGTCGAATTTGGCGAATTTTGGATGGAGGTGGCTTCCGCTACTTCTTCTTCTGGTTAGGCATCCCCCCTTGTTAACTACCCGTAACTGGGGCATAACTGGCCGGCCTCTCAGTGTTCATGAGAGGACTCGACAAACATCTGCAAAAAAAAATACTTGATCAATCAGGATGTGATTCATATGTCAGGCTGCGAGCAGCCGCATTCAGCAGCCTGGTTGACCAGATGACCAACCGGGAGGCCTGGTCGGAGACCGGGCCGAGGGGCTGTTGATCCCCGGAAACTACACCAGCCTGTCCTGCTAAGGTTTCAAAACGTCAAGAAAACGGGTAATTTCAAGTGTCCTCTCCTAACCTACCAGAGGACCCAAAACAGAAAACGGGACAATACGTCACTTTCGCGAGCCGCTTCCACATCCCAGTACGACGATTTTTAGTAACGCATACGAGCGAAAAGCGACGTTATTTGTAAGAGGACAGGTTGGCTACACAAGGTAGCCACAAGGTAGACAGCCCGTACTCGGTACGAGTACTTCCCTACTTTCCTTCGGATCATTTGTGTTTGCAGCTTCCACCTGTGTCCTCTTGTACTGCTTCCCCTTCCCCATTGTTCTGTGATATGGAAATGCTTTAATATATTCTCCCCCTATCCTCTAGGTGCACCACATCACACGTGACCAGTGAAGGATCGACCTTTTGTTCCCCTCTGTAACATGTTGTTGACACCTTACCCTGCGGTTTCAGGGTAAGGTGCCATGATTTCGGGGCTTAGCGTCCCCGTGGCCCGGTCCTCGACCAGGCCTCCTGGTTGCTGGACTGGTCAACCAGGCTGTTGGACGCGGCTGCTCGCAGCCTGACGTATGAGTCACAGCCTGGTCGATCAGGTATCCTTTGGAGGTGCTTATCAAGTTCTCTCTTGAACACTGTGAGGGGTCGGCCAGTTATGCTCCTTATGTGTAGTGGAAGCGTGTTGAACAGTCTCGGGCCTCTGATGTTGATAGAGTTCTCTCTCAGAGTAGCTGTCGCACTTCTGCTTTTCAACAGGGGTATTCTGCACATCCTGCCATGCCTTCTGGTCTCATGTGGTGTTATTTGTGTGTGCAGGTTTGGGACCAGCCCCTCTACTATTTTCCACGTGTAAATTATTATGTATCTCTCCCGCCTGCGCTCAAGAAAATACAGATTTAGGCATTGTAGTCGGTCCCAATAGTTTAGATGTTTTACTGAGGAGATTCTAGCAGTAAAGAGTCTCTGCACGCTCTCCAGGCCAACATTATTTTATGATCATTTATGGTGTTTCCGGTAGCTAATATTTTTTGTTACAATTTTTTGATTGTTCAAATAAAATGCCTTGTTGTAGTGCATGGGGTGTCGTAGGAACCCGACCATACACAAGAGACGGGGAACCAATTGAGACTGACCATACACAGAAAGGGGGGGGGGGGAGGCCATTAGAGCTCGTTATTATTTTAATAGAGTATTTAACATTGACGTTGTTCATAGGTTTACATTAGTGTACATTAAAAAAGGGGAATGGGTTGGGTTGGGTTAGCGACGGTGTACCCACCACGCGGCCAGAAGTCAGTAAAGGTGGACTGGAGTCAGAACTTCATGTACAGGTGGGCCGTGTGTAATGGTTGCTGTTAGTGCAATGTTGCTGACCTCACGCAGGCACAGCTCCCGGCCCTGGCTCAGACGCTGAAGGGAGGCGGGGGGGGGGGGAAAGGTGCCACAGCGCCTTCACAACACTCCTGAACTTCTCGTGAAGGTCGCGTCAGTCTTGATGGACAGTTGACCCATAGGGTGAGCAAAATGTGTCAAAAATGGACGTGGATCTTTTGTTTATTTTTAGAGAATTTCATTGCGATTCGTGTGACGGTGTGTGAGGCGCGGGCCAGCGTCGTGCTGGCCAGTGTTGTGGGCAGGTGGGCGGCAGACACTACAGGCATGTGGGTGGCAGGGGCGGCAGGTGGGCGGCAGGGACCCCGCCGCCCCTACCACACTCCTCAACTGTGTTCAGCCCATCCCGCTGCCGCCCTCCCCTCGCCGCCCTATCAGCCCTCACGCCTATGAGCACCTTGCTTAATTGGCCAAAGGAAAGGGCTGGAGGTGGGGGGGGGGGTAACCACCATACGAGGTGAGGGAATATTGAGAGGGGAGGGAGAGGAGTGAGGGGAGAACAAGGAGCACCCTCTCTGTGAGGGTTTGGTCCAACAGGCTGTTACTTGGAGCGGCCCGCAGGCCCACATCACGGCACAGGAGCCGTGCCGTGATGTACCATGTGTGTACCTTGTTGATATATCAAGTGCCAGGTGCCGTCAGGTGCCGCCTGGTAACCAGAGGGGAAGCGAACCCTCCCGAGGGAACAGCGGATAACGAGGAGGAGGGAGAGGGGAGAGGGAAGGGGTGTGGTAAAGACAGAGAGAGCCCCGCTACTATTGTAAAGGGGAAAGAGGGGAAGCCAGAGAATAAGGAATTATGGACGATATCTGCATAATCTTCCTTGTGAGAGAGTGAGGTGGGGGGGGGGGGAAGGGCACCCCGGCCTCCCAAGGTTTCCCAACGTCAAGAAAACGGTCAATTAAAATTGTCTTCTCCTAACCTTCCAGAGGACCCAAAACAGAAAACGGGACATTACGTTACTATGAGAAGGTGGCGTCTATAGTAGTGTGGGGGGGGGGGGCTGTGGAGGGTGGGGTGTCGCCTGGCTTGGGAGGGCCACACTGTGATGCTCCGGCACCTCCACACGATGCCATTCTAGTCTACGGTTCTGCCACCGCTGCCAACCGCCTCCACACCTGCCTCCACACCTGCCACCGCCCCCACACCTGCCTCCACTACCACCCCCACACCTGCCTCCTCTACCACCGCCGCCCCCACACCTGCCTCCACTACCACCCCCACACCTGCCTCCTCTACCACCGCCGCCCCCACCACCACCCCCTATCAGCCCTCACGCCTACGAGCACCTTGCTTAATTGGCCAAAGGAAAGGACTGGAGGTGGGGAGTGGGGAGAGGTAACCCTCATACGGGGTGAGGGAATATAGAGAGAGGAGAGGGAGACGATGGCAGGGGAGACAGAGGAGAACAGATAATGGAGGCAGATGGAGCAAGTGAATTAAAGGTGAGAGGAGGATAAAGCGAGAGTATTGAAAGATAAGAGCAAAGGGCACAGACCCCAAGCTCCCTCTGGAGCCAATGAAGGATCACAGGATCTTAGTTTGCAATATTCATGCACTAATCCTACCGAGTGCAAGTATTAGTTAAGACGGACGGAGAGGTTCCTTACGAGTGTAAATATTAGTTAAGACAAGAGGGAGAGATTCCTTACGAGTGCAAGTATTAGTTAAGACAGACGGAGAGGTTCCTTACGAGTGCAAGTATTGGTTAAGACAGACGGAGAGATTCCTTCCGAGTGCAAGTATTAGTTGAGACAGACGGAGAGGTGTTGGTTAACACAGACGAGGAAAGGTGTGGCGAAAGGTGAGGCAGGGAGTGTGTGTGCAGGGCAGGTCTGGAGCAAGGAAAAGATTCCTCCGGGCAGAGGCACCTGGCATTAAAGGAAAAGAGAGAAAGAGGAAAAGAACAGTCCTTAAGCACTCTTAAGCGCCACTCTTAATTGGCTGGGAGCGGGATAGCTGTGAGTGCCAGGAACAGGTAAGGGCTCAACCAGGTAGGAGGAGGGGAGGGGGGGAGGGGGAGAATGAGGGAGAAGGAGAACGAAAAGAGAATAGGGAAAGTAGAAGAGGAAAAAAGAAGGGCAATAATGGGTGTAGGTACTCATCTAGTTGTGCTTGTGGGGGGTTGAGCTGTGGCTCTTTAGTCCCGCTTCTCAACTGTCAACTGGTGTACAAATTCTTGATTGATTGATTGAAGATTAAGCCACCCAAGAGGTGGCATGGGCATGAATAGCCCGTAATAGATTCTTGAGCCTATTGGGCTTTGATAAGCTGAGGTGAGGGGGGCCAAGAATGTTCGGAATCTAACCGAAAGTTGAAAGATGGGAAGTGTTCGGATTTTAGGGGAGGAGAGGGTTCGAAATACATAAAGAGAAATTGATCGGGATTTAGGATGGGCAGCGAAGTATGTACCGAATCAAAAGGAAATCGAACGATGTTTAAAATACAGGTAAAGAAATATGTTAATTTTTACTACATATTTATCAAACCGAACGAGGAACTAAGAACGGGAAGAAACAGGAGGTGGAGGAAAATGGAGAATTAGCAGGGAAATAAAAAAGGATGATATAGGTATCACTGATATAGCCGATGATACGGGTATCATTGATGATACAACTGATGACATGTGTACCACTGATATATGTATCACTGATATAACTCATGATACGTGTATCACTTGACAAGTCGTAGCAAAGCTGACGATAAAAAGTGAGGGGAAATGAGGGAATGGAAATGACGGAGCAAAACGAATGGACAAATAAAGAACGAATGATGGAATAGAGGAAACAGAAGGGAAAAAAGGTGGAAGCGATGGAGTTGGGTCGAGTGAGAGGAGAGAGGTGGTGAACGATGAAATAAGGGGAGAGGGAGATGAAGAGGTAAGAGGGGAAGAGGAGGAGAGGGAGGTGTATAATGCATGTTAAATAATTAATGAGGAGATTCACTTGTGGTGTGTAGCCACACTTAGACATCCCCCCCCCCCGGGGTCTGAGGGGAGCCGGTTGGCCGAGCGTACAGCACGCTGGACTTATGATCCTGTGGTCCCGGGTTCGATGCCCGGACCCCGGCGAGAAACAATGGGCAGAGTTTCTTTCACCCTATGCCCCTGTTACCTAGCAGTAAAATAGGTACCTGGGTGTTAGTCAGCTGTCACGGGCTACTTCCTGGGGGTGGAGGCCTGGTCGAGGACCGGGCCGCGGGGACACTAAAGCCCCGAAATCATCTCAAGATAACCTCAAGATAACCTACCCTCATCGGACCAGCCAGCTTGTTGCTGCTTGCGCCTAGGAGACTCACGAAGAAAAATATGGATAATAAATAAAAATGGGAGTGAGAAGGGAAGGGGGAGGAGAGGAACTAGAGAGATATAGGAGGAGAATGA